GGTGGTTGTGGACCCGATAGGCAGCTTCCCGGGAGGTGGCTGGGTCCCCTGAGAGCTGGAGCCCAGATGGGGAAGGGTCGGCACTCAGCTCGCCAGGGAGAAGGGACGGCTCCTCGCACCAGCCGGGCTGATGCAGCCGTGAATCAAGGGCACTTGGCGCGGGCGCCCAGCCTCCCGTTGGCCCCTTCCGAACACAGCCCTCCAGCGTCCACGTCGCCTTATCTATCCCTGATGCGGGCGATGGGGGACAGAGGAGAAAGTCTTCCCACAGGAGACAGGATGTAGCAGCCGCCTCGACGGCCCGGCTCTGGCTGCTCTCTCTCCGTTTCTCCCACTTACCGGGCAGAGCACAGGCCCCAGCACCGCGTATCCCGATGAGCTGGGGCGATGACTGGGGGTGTTTCCTAAGCCGGTCATTGACACACTGCACCCATTATCCCGATGAGCTGGGGCGATGACTGGGGGTGTTTCCTAAGCCGGTCATTGACACACTGCACCCATGAGGCACAAGTCCACAGCAGAGGGGGCTGGCCGTAAAGCACACAGCCTGGGGGCCGCGGTAAACGGACCGGACGCCCCAGCAGGCGCGGGTGTGGCTCCTCGGGGGAGATGTTCGCTGGCTGACCGTGTCTCTCCGTAGGTTTGCCTTCCGCTCGGCTCTCTCAGTAACGTGCCCTTTGTCGTTTGCAGACCGCAGAATGGCTCCATGATCCTCTACAACAGGAAGAAGGTGAAGTACAGGAAAGACGGGTACTGCTGGAAGAAGAGGAAAGATGGGAAAACGACCCGCGAGGACCACATGAAGCTGAAGGTCCAGGGAGTGGAGGTAAAGAGCCAAGGGCCCTCCTGGGCCTCTTACGTCCTGGCCCCGGGGCCGTGAGGCCAGGCACCTCTGTTGAAAGTACTTTTGTTCGTTTCCTTTTCTCCTCCCTTCTCACACCCTCCGATCTCCGTTCACGGTTTATACAAAATTGGATTTAGCTAAAGCTCCTGCGTCCCGGAACCATTGGTGTGCGGTTGGGAGTGGCGAGGGGTGCAGAGCGGGGTGTGGGGCTGAGGGCGGTGCTGCCTCTGGGTGCACTGAGCAATGCAGGGGCTGGGGGAGGAGCTACATCAGAAATCTCCCACGGGGTGCGGGGGCAGGGGCGCTTCACTCCCTCTACTGACACTCCTTCTGCTTCCCTCTGGCTGTCTGGGGGAGCTCCCTGGTGTTACAGATAACT